TTACTTTTTGTTTTTCACTTTTTGTGTGGGAAAACCATGTTAAACTAAAGCAGAGTATTTTTACATAGTGTAAAACATTTTCTGGAGAGGAGCTTTAACTGAAATGTTGCCCCGACACCGATGCTGGAGCAAAAGTCAGCGGGTCACCAGAGTTAAAGCAGATTATCTTGGGGAAAAGATGAATGATTGTTACAGATTTCATGACAATCCATCCAACAGTTGTGGAGATGTTTCACTCTGAACCAAACATGTCAGCTTCACAGTGGAGCCTGAGGAAAAGTCAGAGGAAAGTCTGTAGGATTTATCCTCCGGGAAACACCAAAGTCTGGACAAGATTTCCTGCAGTTGCTGAAATATTTCACTCTAAACTAAAATGGTGAACGACCAGCTGAGAGAGCAACGCTGCTCTTTAATTATTCTGGTGATACATTGCAGCCTTCACACCCAGTACACAGGATAAAAGCAGTGAATAATGTGTTAGCATTTCAGAACCTTTGCAGCAGCACCACAGGTCTTTATAAAAGCATAATGGGGGAACTGTAATAAATAAATAAATACGCATTTAAAATGTTTATTTAAGATAGCAGGAGACCTTAAAACCACATACCAGAAAGTCTGACGGGAGTTAAAGTCACAGGACTCACTCTAGGAATCATTGGAACGTGTCTCAGTGAATAACAGTTGTATTCAATAACACTGTACATATGTTTAAATGATAATTAAGGGTGTTCTTAATTAGCTCTTAATCAATGCATTTCATTTTATACATACACAGACATATGCAAACCAAAAAGTGGCACAGTCTCTGAAAGCTAGAACAGAAGAAGACGGCGCCGCATTCAGCAAAGGGAAAAAAAAAAATGACTTCCACTTTTCTTAATTACAAGAAAAGATCTCATAATTATGGTTAAGTTAGTGCAGCAGAACGACCGGGAACAGGTTGGGCAGCAGCTTGCCTGGCTCTGTCCAAAGGTTAAAGACGAGTACGCCCACCAGCACCTCTGAAGCTCACTAATTAACTATATCTCCAAAGTGAGCTGTGGAGGTGCTGGTGAGGGGAACCTTTAGACTGTGCCAGGGTATAGCTAATTAATGCACAGAAACATGTAGACCAAACACTGGCACGGTCTCAGAAGCGGCCTGTTATGAAGCTCCAGTGATTGGGTAGCGGAGGCCTGCCTTGTTTGTATATCACAGACGAATGTAAAACATTAAAGCGATGAATCGGTGAGACTGTGTTTTTGCTCACTCATGTTCACTTTCACTCCTGCTCAGGCGTGCAGCGGGCGGCGGGAGCGAGTTACTGTGAGAGGCTGCGTGACCTGCCGTGGAGGTCGGACTTTGTCTTTCCTGGCTGTAGAACCTGACCCCCAACACAACAGACCTCATTAGCCAGAGGGAGCTGTGCCTCATGAAGCCTACAGCAGCCCCGGGTCGACGGCAGCAGAGGTGGCGGCGGTTCAGCAATTCCTGTACAGATCTTACTTCTGAATGCCTCTGCTTTTTAACATAATTCTGCTCTTGAGGTGTAGCTGTGGACCAAGACGCCTCAGACAAGGCTCTGCAGTCTGGAACCATTCATACAGCAACAGTAGACATGACTTTACCAACGTCTCCTCTCAGAATCGCTTTATTGTGAAAGTGCATCAGATTCCTTCCTTTGAACAGATAATACACACACACACATACACATATATATATATATATATACTTGAAGTCAGTGGTTTAGCTCAGGAGACAGGTTCACTGTGTATTTCTGCTGACACGTATAAAATATTGTGTCTGTTCGTCCTGTGACAAAGTCTGTTGCAGTGACAAAGAGTGCAAGCAAAAAACATAACACTCAACCAGCTCCCTTCACCTCCTCTGCTCCATCCTTTCCAGGGATCATCCTCTCCCTCACCTGCCAAACGTGCTGCTCACCTCCCCACAGTACTTATGCTGCAGTTAGAGGGGAGGCTACAGACAATGAGAGAAAATGCCCCGGCCGCAGTGACAGCTTTATCTGTTCCCAATGAAGTCAGGCTGCAGCGACTAAACTGAGGGAGCCTCAGCTGGAACTAAGGAGTGTGGAATTGCCGGCGTTAATGTTGAATTATTGTTATTGAATTAGCTGAAATGTACATGAGAAAACTGCTGAATAACTCAAAGAGGACTTGTATTCTTTAGCATTGTTACAAACTCACAGGAGACTCTGAAATGTGCCGTTTTTATGAAATAATAATGTCCAAACTGGTTCTGGCTGGAATGCGTCTGCAAAGGGAAGACACTGCTGCAGAGAACTGGCTCTTAACATCAAGATCAGACGTCACTATAACCAAACGTACGAGGGGGGTTAGATAACGAGACGAGCTGCACAGCTCTCTTCACGTACAGGCGATCCTGCCACTTGCCTTGAGGCTCCAGGTACGACGCCTGCAGTTTGTCACGCTCTGAAATGTCATCCAACCAAAGAAACAAAGGGATCAGATAGTAAAGATCAACAATATTGATCCTGAAAACAATATATGTTCCTACGCCTTCAGATGGACTGGAGAAACTGATAATAAGGTGCAGTCAAAAAACAATGCGGCCTCTTCCTGAGCCCTGCCAACCTTCAAGATAAGGAGTGGTAAAGGGCAACAATGGGGAGAAAGACATGGACAGTGGGTCAGACTCCATATTCTGTTAGCTAAACACAAACCTCAATTATAATAACAGATTAAATTTCTTATAACAACAATGACATCTACACAACATGAGGAATTTGGCTCCTACACGCCGGCCCCAGAGTTGTTCTTGCGAGTGCACGAGCAGTTCAGCTCTTTGAGTGATGAAGTTTGAAGTTTATAACTCTTGTGGTGTTTCTGTCTCGGGTAATTGAAAACTGCAAGTCAGCGCTGTCTGAGAATAGACAACATCGCCCTTCGTGCAGTCATCCGCTACCCTGCCTCTCGAGGGCTCATCACCCAGGGAGGTCCGCGAGGACGTGGCGCGGGTGGGGCCTCCTTACAGCGTGATGAAGAAGTGGGCTGCTGGAAGTCGACCGTAGCAGAGAGAGATCCTGGAAGATGACCCCCCCCCGGTTCTGGAAGGCTGGTGACCCCGAAAAAACGGAAGCACCGCAAAAGTTATTAACTTCAGAGTTTCTGCATAATCAGTCAAAGAGCTGAAGTGCACGTGCATGTGAAGAGAGCTGTGCAACTCATCTCCTTCTACCTCCGGTCACAGACGTATCAATCACCCCAGGTTCACTTCACACAGTTCATGTTGTGTGTGAGTTTCTCCTTAGACTACGTGAAATAAAAAGATGGAAATAAAACAAATGGCTTTTCTTTATCAATGATTTCACTACTATAAAAGATGAAATGCTTTTATCTTTTAATGCATTTGTATTCATCAGTTGTTCCACCATGTTAACCATGATATATACTGTATGTGATGACTTCAGTTACATTAACCTAAATGTTATCAGCCATAACTCCCAACACATCGAGGTTATTACCACGAACTCTTGTGTCTTCTCACAATTGATATGAAATGAGGTTAAAATTATGCCTTTTGTTTTGATTTGGACGATAATAAGTGGGGAAAAAAATGAAAATGAAGCCAAGCATGAAAGTTCATTCTCGACCGTGGAAATAGTTGGGACAAAGCAATCCCACCTCGAGGTGCTATTATTCGCTTTTTAGATTAGTGTTAGAATGATTCTACAGAACAATAAAGCAATAAGAAGGGGTGGAACTGCAACCCCGTCTCCTAGAAATTGCATTTATACGTATATTAACTTTTTTTTTTTTTTTTTTTCCAATTACATAGTGCTGACAAACATAATCACAGCCTGGACTGTTTTCAGAGGGATGTGTTTTTGAGTGAATGAAGCGCTGCATTTATCTGTCAGATAGGGAGGAGGTCAGGGTGGACGGCGGGCATACAAATGACACGACTTTGACACCAGAGTCTGGGATTCACACATCCTGAGCCCAGTCAGTGGTTACGAAGAGGTTCAGGTAGAAAAAGCACTTTGGTTCAAGCTGAGGGACGTTGGGTGACGTCCTGTGGGATCATGGGAGTTGTCGCCTTCGCCACCATTGGTTTGGGTTCCTACAAGCGTCAGTCGTTCAGAAGGTTTCTACCAGGAGCTGAATTATCCACAGAGGTGTCGTCCTCGCTAACAAACAGACAGGTGATTATTGCCGGTGAAACACTGAATAAAGCAGATTCACAGTTAAAGTTTTTCACCAGACGTCAGGGGAAGGGTTGGGAGCTGAGACTGCTGTTAACCTTTGTTTCGATTGTTTCCTTAATAACCTCAAGAGCCAGATGTTCAGGAGGTGTCCGCCCCTCCATAACAAACAGAACAGGGAATTAAAACCAGTAGAAAAAGAATAGAATCGAAGCAGTTTCACTTCAAAAATCATCAGTGATTCACCGAGGCTCTTCGGTGAACGCAGGAAGTCTCGGAGCTGAGCTGTCTAACATTTGCTCAGCTTTTTTCTCTGATAACTTAAGATCCTGTCGCCCGATGACTAAAATCCTCCATCCAGTAGATGAAAATGACCAAGGTGTAAAAAATAAATCTTTAAAATGCGGCTTAAAACTGGATTAAAAAAAAAATCCATTTCGTGCTTCTGGCGGGCAACTACAACGCCGACGAATGCACACGGGGGATATGATGTCATTGACCGGCGACCACATGAAACAGACCATTGCCATGATCACACATTTCTTGAGATTTTTTTTTTTAGACATTTTAGACTTTGCATTTTTAGTAATCCAACACAATCTCTGCTGTTTTTAGTTTGTTTTTTTTCTACCAAACTATATCACTGTCATCTCGCTTCTTAATCCTCTCCACTGCTGACAACATGTTTGTTGGGAAAGGTTGCAGCATACAGCTTGGAAAGTTCCAGCTCCTGTCATACATTATCTGTGAATAATATACCAGGCACAACATCCCTCCCCCTGCCACCTCTTCATGCCGCAGGCTGCAGTTTCCACATTAACTGCACCATGTTCAATCTGTAACTTCATTCACGGAGAAAAAAAATTAAAAAAAACTCCCACCTTCAGCTTCTACCTGATCAGACTGAGGACAGGACGGGTTGAAGCTCCAGCTTGGATTAAAGAGGTAAATCTTCCTTGTAAAACTGATTTCCTAATACTTTCCTCGGAAGTTACTTGACAGAATCATGTTATTTAGTCTTAAAATAAAGGATCAATATTCTTTCCTTTAAATAACAGCTCTATTTAAACCCACAGAAATATTCATTTATTATTGGACACTTTATTTTTCATAAACTATAAATTGAATGCTTGCTTGTTAACAGACTTCACATGTTCAGCTAACAGGAACAACGCTGCCTCTATTTCCAGTCAAATAATATTATATAATAAATCTTCACATCAGTTGATGGAGGAGGAAAAGCCGTGGGCGCTGATCTCAGAGGTGGGGGGTGAATTCGGTTACCTCGAAGAACTCGCCGACATATTGAAGCAACACTTCCAGCTCGTCTGCCACAGAGAGCTTCTACAAAACCCAGCGCTCCACGGCCCCAAAATCCAGGCCCTGTTGATGTGGAAGTACTGCCCTGCGGCCGAGCCTGCCTTGCTCAGGTTGCTCCCATCGCTCAAAGTGGTCGCCAGCGCAGGGGTGGGCATCGACCACCTGGATGTGCCCTTCATCAGGGGTCTCGGGGTGAAGGTGGCCAACACGCCCGGCGTGGTTAGCAACGCCACTGCAGATATGGCCATGGGTCTGCTCCTGGCGTCCGCTCGCAAGATCCTCGAGGGTGAGAACAAAGGTTAACCAGCGCAGGTTCATCCGTGTGCATTCCCACTGACAAGGCAGATCCACTTCGTCAGTGAGCATCAACATCAACTTCATCTTCTTTTATTTATCGTTAAATATTTGTTTCTTTTTTTTTTGAGGCAGAGACCTAGAAGGGTCATTTGTAAATCTGGATTTAATCCGCCCTTTGAGCGGATCTGCAGATTAACTTCAGTAGGAGAAAAGAAGTGATTTGGTATTTTAGCTAAAAAAAAAGTTTTTTTGCCCTTGAACGTGGCTTCTTGCCGGCGGTGGGTGGTGGTGATTGTTGCTTGACAAGAGTTTGGGCCATCGTAATGTTTACAAGACTAGAGGTTATAATACACCCTTAGAGCAGGGGTACTTCAGGGCAGATTTGAGGCTAATGTGAGTCGTTATTGACGAGGCTAGCTGGTTAGCGTGCTAACTTCAGCAGTTAAAAAAAGACGTGATAGAGACAAAAGTTAGCATTGGCGTTGTTTTCCACCTCTGGAGACGGCTCTTGGTGAGTAAAGGAATGAAGTTTGATGCTGAACTCATGATGTTTCTTTCAGACTGGTAAGTAAACAGCTGTTAATGCTAACGTTGCTGTAGCACAAGCAAAAACATACAAATAACTCCTTCAAACTGGGCAAAAGATGCAGATAGCTGCAGCAGACACGCAGGGTTTTACAAAACGAAAACACAACATGGACTTTTTCTTGTTCCTCTCCTCATAGGTCATCAAATAGCTCTGGATCCAAGGACTACCCATATACCGCAAAGCCTGATGGGAGTTGAAGTCACAGGGTCGACTCTGGGGGTCATTGGAATGGGAGAGATCGGTTACAAAATTGCCCAAAGAAGCAAAGGATTTGAAATGAAGATCCTGTATCACAACAGGACCAGACGGTAAAGAAGAGGAAACATGCAGCAAATCAAACATTCTTGCACTGAAAATGATATACAGTCAGAGACACTCAGCAGCTAATGGTTAACAAAGTGGCATTTATCTTACAGGGTAAATCTTTTTCAAAGGGAGCTGATTATTCCTCTTCCTTAAAAAAGAAAGAAAAAAGAAATCGCCCTCTCTTAAAAACTGGATGGTTCATCGAGCGTGTTGATTACATTCTTGAAGGCTTGAAAAATTAGAGTATGAGTCTGAAAGTTTGTGAATTCATTATTCCACTCAGGAGTGTGGAAGCTGAGCAGGAAGTTGAAGCGAGTTACTGTGAGCGGCTGGACGAGCTGCTGAGGAGGTCGGACTTTGTCGTGGTAGCGGTCAAACTGACCTCGGATACGACAGGCCTCATTGGCCACAGAGAGCTGTCCCTCATGAAGCCCACAGCGACACTGGTCAACATCAGCAGAGGTGAGAATGAGGTCTTCTTCTGATCTTCATTCATGATTATTGATTCAACTTAATAATGAGGCTCTTTTCATGTCTCAGGTCAAGTTGTGGACCAGGATGCTTTAGTCAAAGCTCTCCAGTCGGGAACTATCCGTGCAGCGGCTTTAGATGTGACTCATCCTGAACCTTTACCGAGGTCTCATCTCTCAGACCAATCAAAACCAGAATCACATTCTCAAGATGGAACAACGTATTACTGTAATATGCAATTAATTCTCACTCCTAACAGCTCCTCCGCTTCATCTTGTGCAGGGATCATCCGCTCCTCGGCCTGCCTAACGTGCTGATCACCCCCCACATCGGGATCAGCACCTACGACACAGCGAGCAGGATGGTGGAGAAGATGGCGGAAAACGCTGCGGCTGCAGTGAAAGGCTTACCTGTTCCAAACGAGGTCAAGTCGCAGTGACCGGACCAACTGTAGCACAACCAGTGTAACTCATTCATTCTGTAGAGGCTGCGCTGATGTTGTTGGCCTCACTGTTTTACTTCAGAGATCTGGAAAATAAAATGAGAACAAACGCAACCGTTCCCCACATCCGACTCTATTTCCTTTTCCTTCTTCCTGTTGCTAACGAGCTTCTTCATTTTGATACTCCAGTTTTTTACCTTGGATGTCATCTTTCCAGTCAGACAGAGAGCAAACAAGTGTACGATGTGGTCAGGTGGCAACAACATACAAGTTCCCATCATTGGTTTGTCACAGTGATAGGATTTAATATGAGAAAAATATAAAAACAATTAAAGGAGTTTTTAAACATTTTTAATGATCATTTTGATTAAAACATTTAAAAACATAATTTATATGAAGGTTTTTTTATTATTTACATTTTTTCACCAAAATTACTGTTTGCAAATGATTGCGTCATTTATGAAAATGTCATGATGCACAATTAAAACAAAATAATAATTTTACTAATTAATTACACATTAAATTCCCCCCTGCTCATTGTTCTGGTTTGCATGTTTCTGGCTCTAATAGCGTGTTGTTTAATGTCTAATGTATTCCTTCATCCGTGTTTGATTTGATTTGTGATAATGCTTCGAGATAATGCAAAGTGCTAACTCTCAAAGTGAAACCTTCCGCAATAGTAAAGACTGATAAATGAGCCATTATGTATCTGTGCCACTGTTTCATGGAGCTGTGTGGAAAGGCAATAACACCAGTTTGCAGCAGGTGTGTTATTGAGTGTGTACATTTATTATGAAACATTTTCAACCTTTAGTGAAATGACAAATAGTTTAAAATAAAAAATGGTCACTGGGCTGACGAAGACTGAGCTTTTCTTTTTAGACTCCAATAATAAAATATTATTTTTATATTATATACTGTATTTACATATATATATATATATTATATATATATTATATATTATATTATTCAACACCTCAACTCAGACAAACTAACCTGACTGACATTTTACAGTCGCAGCACAGCTGATGTCCCCGAGCTTCCCTTTCCCGACTCTGTCGTGAAGAGGAACACTATAGTTTTCCTTCTGCTTGAAACAAGTACAGTACAGCCTCAGTATCTGTTACCACATCAATCATAAGCTCGCTGCAAAGGTGTCTTCAATATGCATGTGGAACTGGAAAGGCAGATGCAGAGCGTCTCTAAAGGAAATGCTGGCAATGTGCCCGCTGAAGAACAGACAGCTTGAAGACACTGCTGCTTCTGAAACATTTCCCGTGGATATCTGAACGGAGACGGGGACGAAGCAGAGCTGTGGGTTGAATGTGTCACAGCTGCATCCAGTTAACTCTGTCTCTGAGAAATTACATTTATATTCTGCTGAAACGCAACAGCAAACATGTTTCTAAAGGAACATAACGCTGGCTGGATTAGGTTCTCTATAAACGTTAATGCACAGACAGGCGACAAATTAAAGAAAAACCAAGATAAAGTGTCTTAGTATGGCGTTAATGAGCTGCCGGAACAGCTTCAATTCTCCTTGACATTGATTCTCCAAGTCTCTGGGCTCCACCGGAGGGATGAACACCATTCTTCCTAGAGATCCCTCATTTGGTGTTTTGATGACAGTGGTGGAGAGCGCTGTCTGACATCTCCCACAGATGTTCAGCTGAGTTGAAATCTAGTGACTGTGAAGGCCACAGCAGCCGTTCAGTGACCCCCCATTGCACCTGGAGTCCAGGTTTGTCCTTTAATTCGTCCCCCGTTCGTATCCGTGTGGCAAAATGTTGATAATGAAAGTACCGTTGATCACATTTCTTTGGTTTTCTCTACGATATCTGCTCTTGCGATCCAGTATCTGCTGTTAAAGCAGGATTAAACAGTTTTATGGTTCTGTTTAGACACTCACTTGGACTTTAGGTCCTACCGGGGTGGTTAATCACCATGGCAACTGATGCTGAACTAACCTGACATCAATCCAACAGGATCCCGACGGGAGCAAAAGAGTTTAAATTGAAGTGAGAAATAATCACAAGCAGTAGATGTTTTTTATGAATCAGTCGAATCGTTTTGTTGTTGCACAGCAGCGTGTGTCCACTCTGGTTTAAAATACAGAGCTTCTAACAAACAGAGGGAGAGTTTATCACACTAAATAAATACATAATAATATTATACTGTCATTTTTTCTGAACAAAGATTCTCCAGACAGTGTTGATGCTTGTACTCTTCTTCCATCACTGCAGTTCAGAATAACATGAGGAGACTTTATGACCATATCAGGGAATAAACACGAAATCCTCTGATGACTTTTATTGGAAAAAAGTATCGACACATTGTTCACCTTGTTGAATATCACTTGTGGATGTCGTAATCAAATTTACCTGCAGGTATCAGCGTGTCTTCTCATATCATATTAAGAACGATGTTGCTTATAATTAACAACTCGGCCTCTTTTACACGAACACGCTCGTAGCCGGACTGGAGGGTTGTCCAGGTTAGGGTGAGTTAGTCCAGATAACAAAAAGATATCCTGGGTGTGTTGTACTTCATAGCACTGGGCCTCTGGTGTCTGGTGTCTGGGGTCTGGTGTGCAGAGTAAAAACGTAGCACACCGCCAGTGAACATAATCCAGGTAGCAATGATATTTCTCATCAAAATGTGATAGGGAAAAACAGGTTAGAAGCAAATAAATGTAATTTCTAGGAGACAGCGGTGATTCATTGGACGTACCATGTACTCTGCAGTGATTGCTCACGTCATCATTGTTATGTCCCGTCCTGATTTTCTTTTCTGTTGCTTGTTCTGTTTGTTTTCCTTTCCTGTTTTATTTTGGTGTGTGTCTAACCTCTTCTTTCATTCCAGGTTTCCACTTCCACTGCCATCGTGTGTTTCTCGCCCCGGTGATTGTCGACCCCGCCCCTAATGTGTTGCACCTGTGTCTCATTGCCAACCCCCCCGCCAGTGTATTTAGTCTGCGTGCTCCCTGCGTCCTGCTCCAGTTCCTCTTTGTTCTCCGTATCAAACGTTCTAGCAGTGTCTCCGTGTTCTACCCAGTGTTTCTTTGACTGGTTTAGATTTTTGACCAAAAGTTTAGCCGCCGCCCTCTGGATTTGGCTGTTTTTGATTGATCACCCGTGTACCGACCTTGCCTGAATTAAAGACTTCGCCTCTGATCGCTGTCTCTGAGTCGTGCATCGTGACTCCTTATCCTGTGGTTCTGTCAATTATAAACTGCTCGTGTTATATTTCGCTGCCTCAAGTATTGTATATTATCTGAACTCTTATTGTTGTTTCTTTTGCGTCTGTCATTGTGCAGAATACAACTGAGCTGAATACGCTGCTATTAAAAGGATATGTCATTTATATGAACACAAAGCCGAATGCTCTTCGAGCCACTCGGAGCATATATCCATATGTCTGAGTAAAAGCCTGATTACAGTGCAGAGTTGATGGTCACATTTTGAACATGAGGCCGTGGCTACAATGAGCCCAAATGAGGCTCTTGAGGCTGTTTGTGGGTGAATGCAGCAACGAGGACAGACAACAGTAAAGGCTGCCACTCACCCTCTATCTATGATCGTATTTTAAAAAGGGCACGCTGTCTAGAAATGAAGGGCACCCTTTCAGCGGGCGGCCCCGCACAGACCTCCCTAAAGCCCACAGAGCGGCCGACTCCGGCTGGCCTTTTCCCCCAAGGCTGCTCCTATAAACTGTGAAGGTGTCCCTTATGGTGAGAGCTACATTACTCCATCACAGATGTGACCTCTCTCAAAACCAGGCGTGTCCTTCAGATGTTTTCATTGTCCTGTACTTCCTTAGTTTCATTCACTCAACAGTCTTTTCTTTTTAAATTACACTAAAGGACCAGAGAAAAGAAAAAAAAAAACAGGTAATTTCAGCTGTAATTATTACAGGAAAGAGGGTAAAAAATGACCCACAAACACACTCTGGACCAGGTAAAAATCACCAGCCAGCGCAGGTAATGTTGAAAATCTCCCCATCTTCCTTGGAGAAATAAATCCAAGCTGAATGGGGCTTATTTCTACATTTTTTTCCCCCCGTTTTCTCCCCCTGCATTGCGGTCTTTATTAAATATATGACATTATGGCTCTATATTTCATTACAGTCTGACTTGAAGGGTCAGCCTGAGAGTTTTATTTTGGTCAGGTCAGAACAAACCCTTCTGTCTGACTGTGGCGCTCTGCTTCCATCTGCTCTCCACTCACGGCCCTTTAACTTTAATGACATACTATAACAAGTAGCCAATTGAGCTAATCAGCTAATCATGATGAAAAACTTTACTTCTGTAAAAGAACGTCTAGCACTAGGAGTCACACAAGGGGCAGAGTGGAAGGATATAAAAGCGCCCGTGGGCCGGACACACCTGAGACACACCTGAGGGACAGCAGCTGAGCCCAGCCTTTGTTTGGTGTTTGTTTTGGTATATTGATAAAGTATGCTTGAGCAAAATAGTGATGTTTTTTAAATGTTTCTTTAGTGCATCACTGATCAGTGCTCTTTAATTATTAAATGAATAAAATATTTGTAATATTGCTTTTGTATTTATTTTGATAATCTGCTTTTGTTTCTTTTAGTATTCAAATAAAAAGAAACAAACTGCTAGAAACGCCAACCACTGTTTTTGCCAGGTTCCTCAGCAGATTGTTATTAATTTACTTAATTATTTGATTAATTTTTTTGTTTATCATCCCCTTTTTTTGGCTTTCATTTCATCTTACTGCTCTTCAACTGAAGGAGAAGAGTCTTTCACCTAAATGCGTCGTAAAATAAAACGGGTGCAGCAGCCTTTGATTCCACTTTATTCTGGGTTTTGTGTAGTTGAGTATCTCACGGTCACACATAAGTGTCACATCAACGGCTTTTGTCATTGCACCTGCCATACCCATCCTGTTTGTCTGCAGCTCCTTCCAATGTAACCCATCCATCTCACTTTATTGATCTGACTTTAATAAATCTTGTGCTTTCATCTATATACATAGCAGTGGCGCCTTGTGGGCCACGATTCGCCACATGTTTGACCTCTTATTCCTTTTATAGGCTGTTTATTATGGATCTCTTTCGATAACTAGTTTTGCCAGTGGGGTTACACACATTTCCATAGCA